CTGTTGATTATTCTGGAGATATATCCTCATATCCGCTTCTTTTGATACAGGTAACAAAAGAAATAAGAACAGGAGGAGTATTATAGATTCTTTTTTCAGTTTCTACAGATTCTAATTAAGACAAGTTAAGTTCTAACATTTTGTCCTTTTTGCAAGGTAACTACTTTTAAATGTGGAGGAATCTCCCTTGGTATTCAAACTCATCATGCCTTGGCAGATGGTACATCGGCACTCCATTTCATTAATAGCTGGTCTGACATGGCGCGAGGACAGTTCCCCAATGTTTCACCTTTCCTTGACCGCACCGTTCTTCATTCCCTTGTGCCACCAGCTCCTTCTTTTCGCCATGTTGAATATGATTCATGTCCATCAATGATCACTCCCATCTCATTTCCTGGAAGTCTTTCTACATCTGTCTTCAAGATCACACAAGATCACCTAAACAACCTAAAAGCCAAGTGTTACAAAAATGGAACCACTACTACAAAGTATAGCACCTACAATATCCTAGCTGCACATGTATGGCGTTGCGTAAGCAAAGCACGATGCCTCTTACACAATCAAGCAACAAAGCTATCCATGACAGTCAATGGAAGGCCTAGATTGCGTCCTCCCCTCCCATCAGGCTACTTTGGCAATGCTATCTTTCGAGCTTCAACAATAGCTCTATCTGGTGATATCCAAACAGAACCGTTAGTGAATACTGTAGAAAGAATACACACAGCACTGAACCAGATGGATGATCCATACCTGAAGTCAGCTCTTGCCTACTTGGAGAAAGTTCCTCTCAATCAAATTTCTTCATCACCAAGTGACCATGAACAGCAATGCCCAAATGTTTTCATCAACAGTTGGCGCTTCCCTATTCATGATGCAGATTTTGGGTGGGGTCATCCCATATTCATTGGACGGGGGAGTATCGGTGAAGGGTGGATATACATACTACCTAGCCCAACTGATGATGGTACCTGGACATTGATAGCAGGCTTAGAGACCTCTCACATGAAGCTCTTTCAGCAGCTCATTTGTCACAAGCTCATTTGTAACCTATGATATCCTCCACGGCTTAACCTATGTTTGTCTACTCGGTGGTGATGCTGATTTTTATATATATATATATATATTAAGTGCTTAGTATTTTGAAGTCATATTTGTAGAGAAAACAGTGTTGAACAAAAGCATCAAGTTGAATATTCTTTGAGGAATTAAATCAAACACCTGCTGGGCATAAACGGTTTGAGCAAGTGAAAGGAATTGAAAGACAATAAACTCAAGCCAATTGGAAGAGGAAAAATGGTCCTGAATATCTCATTCAATAGATAGAAAAACAACTCATACAAATATCCAGAACTGTAACTGAATTAAACAATAAAATAGCACAACTAAGCCATTAAAACCACTAAACTACAAATAAGATATGCACTACTAAAAATGGGAAACACAATTGCACGTATTGAATAAATTACTAAAGAATGGGACAATAAAAAACAAATAATGTAAGACTTATTCAACAAACCCTCCCTTAAACTAAACTTTGTATCAAAGTTCAATTTAATAAATTCTCCAACACACAAACACCGAGCAACTTCCTTTGTTTCTGAAATGTTGACAACTTAAGAGGTTTGGTAAAAATATCAACAATCTGGTCTTCACTTCTACAGTAGACAGGATCAATGACCCCTTCTTTCACAAGGTCCCTCAAGAGATAATTCCTCACTTCTATATGCTTGCATCTTCCATGAAGAACAAGATTCTTGGACAACTTAATTGTTGAGTTGTTGTCACAGAAAATAACAAGTGGTTCCTCCTATTTGAAATGACATTCTTTAAGAATTCTCCGCAACCATATTGCTTGGCAAGCACATGATGTTGCTGCTACAAATTCAGCTTCAGTTGTTGATAAAGTCACAATTGGTTGCTTTCTTGATGACCATGAAACAGTTTTTGTTCCCATCATAAAAACATAACCAGATGTGCTCTTTCTATCATCAAGATCCCTTGCAAAATCACTATCTGCGAAGCCAAACATGTCTGACTTTTCTCCATTCTTATAAAATAAACCATACTTAGCTGTACCTTTCAAGTACCTGAGAATTCTTTTTGCTACCAGAAGATGCATTTCCTTTGGACTTTCCATGTATCTGCTAATAAGGCTCACAACATGCATGATATCTGGTCTTGTAGCAGTTAAATACATCAAACTTCCCACCATTTGCTTGTACAAAGTGCTGTTGACTTTCTTCGCTTCAAGATTTCTAACTAGCTTCATTCCTGCATCAATTGGTGTGCTGACAAGATTGCAATCCTTCATTCTAAACCTATCCAAAATGTCTTGAACATACTTTTTCTGAGAAACAAAGATACCAACAGTAGATTGATCAACCTCTATGCCAAGATAATAATGCATCAAACCAAGATCAGACATGTCAAATTCAACCATCATAGACTTCTTAAATTTATCAAACATAGCCTTATCATTTCCAGTGTAGATCAAGTCATCCACATATAAGCAAACAATGAGCATTTTCCCACCTTTTGTTTTTGTGAAAAGTGTGTGTTCATAAGGGCATTTTTGAAATCCCTCCTTCAAAAAATATGCTTCAATACGACTATACCAAGCTTGTGGGGCTTGTTTTAGTCCATAAAGTGCCCTTTTCAACTTATACACTTTATGCTCATTTCCAACTTTAACATAACCAGGGGGTTGTTCAATAAATACCTGCTCATCCAAGTCTCCATGCAAAAATGCTAATTTTACATCAAGTTGAAAAACAGGCCATGAGTTTTGTGTTGCCAAGGAGATCACCAATTTGATTGTATCATGCCTTGCAACTAGAGCAAAAACTTCTTGATAATCAACCCCAAACTCTTGCTTGTAGCCTTTAGCAACTAAGCGTGCCTTGTATTTTTCAACTTCTCCATTCTCTCAACTTCGTCTTATACACCCATTTCACACCAATGGTCTTCTTACCTTCTGGAAGCGTAGTTAGCTCCCAAGAATTATTTCTTTCAATGGCTTCAATTTCTTCATCCATGGCTTTCCTTCATTTGGGTTCTAGAACAGCATCTTTAAAAGCTACAAGATCACAATCTGAAAATAGAGCAAAGTATGTTAGTTCCTCCTCATCAGATTGTTTAATTCAAGGTACCTCATAATCAAGCATCCATGCAGGCCTTTTTCTAACACACTAGGTCGCTGTCCATCATCTAATTCAGCTTCTGGAATGAAAGCTGGTAAAGTTGCTAGAGCTATGGAATAATGCTTTGACTCTCTTATATTTGTTGTTCATTCTCCATGGATTGCTGCTGTTTTTTCTCTTCAATTTCACCATAAAAAACAACTGGTATCTTTTTTTCAACTTTGCCTCCATCCCATTCCCAGAATTTTCCTTCATCAAAAATCACATCTCGACTGATGATGATTTTCTTGGTATTTGGATTGTACAGCTTGTATGCTTTGGAATGATTACTAACACCAAGAAAGATAGACTTTCCTCCTTTGTCATCTAATTTCTTCCTCTTCTCATCTAGAATGTGAGCATAAGCAATACAGCAAAAAATTTTAAAATAATCCACACCTAGTTTTCTTCCACTCCATGCTTCCTTAGGTGTCATATTTTGAATAGCAAAGGTTGGACTTCTGTTCAGAATATGAATGCTTTAGTTGACTGCTTCAAGCCAAAAATTCTTGGGAATGCTGCTTTTCTTCAAAAGACTCCGCACCATATTTAAAATAGTGCGATTCTTCCTCTCACAAACACTATTCTGTTAAGGTGTGTAGGTTGTTGTCAGTTGCCTCTTGATTCCATGTGTCTCACAAAAATTTGTAAATTCTTGTGAGTTGTATTCTCCTCCACAATTAGTGCGCAACACCTGAATTTGACTCCCTGCTTCCTTCTCAACAATAGCTTTAAAGCTTTTGAAAACCATTAAAGCTTTTGAAAGCCATTAAAGCTTCAGACTTTTGTTATAAGAAGTATACCCATGTTTTTCTACTAAAATCATCAATGAAAGTAATAAAATAGCGTTTACCTCCATTGGAAATTGGATTAATTGGTCTACAAATATCAGAGTGTACAATTTCCAACAGGCTTCTTGCTCTAGTTGATCTCCCCTTTGGAAATGGATCACAATGTTGCTTGCTAACAACACATTCTTCACAAACATTTGAGGGACTTTCAAAAACAGGCATACCAGTCACCATGTTCTTTTGATGAAGTTGCTTGAGACCACCAAAGCTAAGATGACCATAACAAGAATGCCACAGCCAAGCCACCTCATTTGTCTTTGCTGAGAAGCATGATTGACTAGCACAATTGAGATGAAGAGGAAACATTCTGTTAGCTGTCATTTTAACTTGAGCAATTAAGCCCAATTTGGAATCTTGAATCCTGCACACTCCATTCTTGATGATAATCTCATAACCCTTCTCTTGCAATTGACCAATACTTAGCAGATTGGTCTTCAATTTTGGAACATAAAGGACATTAGAAATTGTTTGAGTAGCATTACCCCTGATTTGAATGGTCACCTATCCTTTTCCCATGATCGAGACTTTAGAATTGTCTCCAAACTTCACTTTATCTCTGAAAGATTCATCCAAGGCAGAGAAAGCCGCCTTATCTCCACACATATGATTACTGCAACCAGTGTCTAGATACCACAGATTCCTGTTAGTTTCCTCTCTAGCTTAACATACCATCAGTAAGGATATTTCCTCTTCAATTTCTACAAAATTTGATTTTTCTCCTTCGTTATTAGGCAAATTAGCTCGACATTCAGACTTGTAATGCCCATACTCGTGGCATCGAAAGCACTCCACTTTAGACTTGTCTGCTAACTTTGGTTTATAATAAGTTTGAGATCTGCCACACCCCCTTCCTCTTCCTTTAAAAAACTGAGTCTGCTGATTTCTTCCTCCAAAAAACTGAGTCTGCTAATTTCTTCCTTTACCTCTGCCTCTTCCTCTTCCTCTGTTTGATCTATCTGAAAATGAAGAAGAGGTGCCAATTGTGGCCTTCAAAGCTTGCTCATTCTGTTCTTGTCGATTTAGCTTCCTTTTATGCACCAATAATGAACTTTGCAAATCATCTATTGTTAATGCATCAATATCATGAGACTCCTTTATAGAACAAACAATATAATTAAATTTTGGTGTCATGGATTGAAGCATTTTCTCCACAACAACAATGTCTTGTGTCATGTCACCAACGATACGCAACTTGTTGACAATTGCCATTGTCCTTGAAAAATAGTCTGTCACAGACTCTCCTTCTGTCATTTGAAGTATTTCAAACTCTGAATGAAGTGCTTGTAGTTGCTGCCTCTTTGTCCTTGCTGATCCTTGATACTTCTTCTTCATGGAGTCCCAAATTTGCTTAGTACTGTCCTTACAAAGAATAGTTTCCAAGATTGTTCAATCAATTGCTTGGAAAAGATAATTTTTAGCCTTGAGATCCTTCAATTTCGAGGCCTCCAATTCTGCTCTTTGAGCTTTTGACATCCCAGCAATTGGTTTTGCTATGCCAGATTCAACCACAGTCCAATAATCCTTGGATCTCAAGAAGGTCTCCATCAACATGTTCCAATGATCATAGTGACCATCAAAGTGAGGAATTGCAAGCTGCACAAAGGTTTCAGACGCCATTAGCTGCTACTGTTGCTGTGTTTGGTCCCCTCAATGTACCAAGCTTTGATACCAAATATAGAGAAAACAGAGTTGAACAAAAGCTTCAAGCTAAATATTCTTTGAGGAATTAAATCAAACACCTGCTAGGCATAAACAATTTGAGCAATTGAAAGGAATTGAAAGACAGTAAACTGACTCCAATTGGAAGAGGAAAAATGATCCTGATTATCTCATTCAACAGATAGAAAAATGACTCATACAAATATGCAGTTCTGCAACTAAATTAAACAATAAAATAGCACCACCAAACCACTAAAACCACTAAACTACAAATAAAATATGCACTACTAAGATAGGGAAACACAACTGCACGCACTCAACAAACTCTTAAAGAATAAAACAATAAAAAACAAATAATGTAAGACTTATTCAACAATATTAAATATCACTAATATACTCAATTGCATCAGATTCAATAAGAAAAAACTCTTTTAGTACCTATTTTTTTATTTATAAGATTCAAATTCAAAATAAAAAAAATCAAATTCCTTCTAATGAAACCAACAATCATTGGTGATGCTGATTTTGTTAGTGGGGATCATCGGTTTCACCGTTTTTGTGTTCCTGGTGACGAACAAAGGCGCTGGGAAGGTGGTTTCCTATAAAGGGTTCAAGCAGCAAAGGACCAGAGATTCCGCCCTCTAGTTGGAGAGGCATTTTGTGAATAAGAAGACGTGGGATCGGATTAGGAGTTGTTCGGTGGAGTCCCGTATCTGTAAGAGTCTTGGGAATACAGATGAGCCAGATTTTTTCAAGAAGTCTCTTACATCCTTACAGGTATATATTACATTGTTTATTTAATTTTTTTTCCCTTCGTTTCAAATTATGTTTGTTTGATTGATTTCTTCCATGAAAAATAACTGATTTTTTTTTTTAAGAGAAATGTTTTTGTGCAGTCTGAAAACATTAAACTTTGAATATGGTTATGGGTCATAATCCCATCAATAATTGCTTTTGTTTTAACGACTGCCAGTGAAAAGGAATTTTGTTTTTCAAAAGATATTTATATATGAGTTATTTGTTTTTGTAATTTAAATTATTTTAAATTATAAAATATAGTCATTAAATAAATATTTTTAATATTTATAAGTTTACATTATATTCAATGATTAATAATTTTATAAAAATTATATAATACTCAATTTAAATTTTCAATGCCTTAGGAGATAAGAATTTAAAATTTTGATGTTCTAAACTATAATTTTAAGTTCAAATATGATATATGTAATAAAGAAAATCTCTTAAATTGAACAATATATTATCATAAAATGATCAAAAGATTGCTAGACAAGCATGTGGGAGGGAAGAAATCTGCCCTTGTTTACATTTTTTCGGGAAAACATGCAAATTACCCCTCAACTCATCAACTAGTGACAAATCACCCCCTCAACTCACTTCACGTGCAACCAACCCCTCAACTCACCTGCAATGGCAAATCAACCCCTTTATTAAGACTGACATCATCATTCCATTAACTTTTAATGATCCTCTCATAAGCCCCTCCTCTACGTTTGACGTGACCTTTTGTCTGAGATGATGGTTGAGATGGAGGTGCCACGTGGACAAATACTCCAAAATAATTGAATCAAGTTACTTTTATGCCCTTAAATTGTTTAGGAAAATAAAATCGGGATCTGGAAATCAAGGTTTTAAATGAGTACTTCCCCCCTAAGAGAAGGGTTGAAAAACCTAGTTGCACACTAAAAAGGATTGCACGAATAAAAATAAAACAAGGTGCCACAAATTCAGCTAGGAATTTTGCCGAATATCACCTGAATCTTACTTTCTTTGACCCAAATTATACAAGAATGTTTATGCATTACCTGATTTAGTATTGGTGAGGCCTGTCCCGAAAGCATGGCTGAAAAAGTAACAAAACAATCAAAGACATGAGCCACAAATTAACACTCGGAACATAATATTTGAAGAAAATATTGCATCTTCTACATCTAGATTCAGAATTTATAAGAATACCAAAAAATAGTACCTGCAGAAGCCATTCCGCTGGCAACTCCAAGCGCCATAAGAACGCCGATGACCATGAATCGCCATTTAGGTAGAGCTATCATTTCATCAGTGACAATCCTGGACTGGTATCGTATATACAAAATCAAAAAGTAAATCACCACGTACTTGAATTTCGCAACACGATCAAATCAAACCATAAAAAAGGAAATCAATTTAAAGAAGAAAACCGTGAAAGTTACCCAAAAGTGATGAATTGAGCTAGGAAGAAAGGGTATTGTTTCATAGGAACGAGAGCGAACTTGTAGAGCACACGATTAGCAACGGTTAATGTGACGGTCATTGCGAAGCCAACGGTGATTAGACTGGCATTAGATGCGGCGCGTGAGCTCTTGATTGAGGCACAGACGGTGAGATTGTGGCGTCGTTCGCCGACAGTTCTGTAGCTAGTATAACACACTCCCTAGGCACTGTTAGTCCTAAAAAAGTTAAGAAACAAAATTTATAGTAAAGAATTGCAGCGGAAGTAAAACACTTATAATATAAAATATTTTTTCAAAAAAAAGCTTGTATTCAGAAAATCAATTTAATAAAAGAATATCAATATATATTGGAAAATGCCAAAATATTCAAAATTATAAAATAAAGTGAGTTAAGCTCATTTATAATTAATTTAAAGATTTTATACATAAAAGTAATCTACACAAAAATTATATGGGGCAAATTTCTTCTCCAAAGCTTTTCAAAAAAACAAAAGCTGAGTCATTGTTTTGGTAATACATCGATCTGTCTCCTTATCGAAAACAAGAGGCCCTAGCTTATACATACAACGAGCATGCGAATCTCGTGCCAAAAGCTCCTAAACCGAGAGGCTGCTATCTCGATCTACTGATTTGAAATGAGGGGATTTTATGAGCTAACAGGTCAATAAGTAATAAGTTTAAACTATAAATTTGGATCCTAAGACCGCTAGACTTATACACATAAAGAGCACGAAATATAACAGAACCAATTAATAATCACACATGTTAAGAAATAATCAATGACATTTAAATTAAATTCATATACTAAAATCACATGCTCACAAGTACGATGTCACAAGCGCAATGCATAAAACCGAAAATCACACAATGCTATGGAGTTCACTGATGTGAGCTAGCAACACTGTATTGGAGCTAATCACAGTGCTAACCCAACTGCATAGAGATCCACTAAATACCCCAAATGGTCCACTGAATACCCCAAGCTTTAAGTTTAGGTCCACTTACTCTATAGCCACAAACACATATGCATTTTAAACAAATTCAGAATATGTCCAAAATACTATTAGGAGTTCCTATTGAAATACGTGAACAGTGATGTATGAACAGTAATCATGAACAGTACAATTTACTTATAATTCTGGTAAGTAAAAATTCACACCAAATCAAACATATAAAGGAATAACTCACTATCTTTCCCATATAAACCCCAAAAATTAAATATACTTCTAATGAAATTTTAATTTCAAAAATCTTATAAACCAAAAGATTAGGGTCAAATCTCACTAATTTAAACTACTCAAAACTCTAACCCCAAATTCATAACTAAAACTTATACTTACCTAAAAATCAAGCACTTTAATCTTGGTTGGAGAAAGAAGGAACAAAAGAATGCAGGGGACGGCTGGAAGATGCAGGGGATGGTTGGAAGACGCAAGACAAAAAAAATGGGGACTTTTGGGAGCCTTCTGGAGGCTTATCCAAGCCCAACTGACAAAGAAAAAAAAAACTTGGTTGGGACAATACCATGTGGTAAGCAAAATTGGGATAATTGAGTTAGGGCAATTCAACTTCTACTAAGTTTTACTTAAAACCCTCAAACTTTAAATTCAATCAATTTAATCCCTAAAACTATAAACTAAAGGACACTAATTTTTAAATTATTCACTAAGGTATGTGAGGTGTTACAGTTAGCGTCATTGGAACTCAACGTTGGTTTGGAACTCGATTGAGATAAAAGGAAATCCATAGGTAACAGGTGGCATCGTTGGTTTGTTTCCCTAAACCCTAGATCCCTAGCTCCCTAGTTTCATTTCCCTAAACAGTTTAAGGGCATAAAAGCAATCTACTTGATCTAATGATTTTGAGGTGATTTGTTTAGGTAACGTGATGCACTAAAATCATCCTAACAAGTGTACTAGTCGCTCCAAGTAACATAATGATGAGAAGAGTGTCGAACTCACGAGGGTTGTGTCTAACTAAATACCAAAATAATTAATCCAAATTTATTTGAACAACCAAATGGGAAGAAATTTTAACTAAAAAAATAATAAAAGGAAACTAACAATTAAATTAAACCTAACCAAGATATGAGGTACTAAGGCATTGACTTCACCATAATCAATCAATATAAATTCTAGATTACCAAATTGTTGAATGTTATTGCATGTGATGGTAGATTTCCCTAAATTAATTAACTAGCTTTCTCAAGTCAAGTTAATCCTTCACTTATTTGTTAAATTAATCATATCTCTATGTAATTTTAAACAAACTTATGAGCATTAAATTATATGGAAACCTCTAGCTTAAGAAGGGGGAGCTCCTAACTCTCTTCTCTTCCTCTACTACCACATGTGAGCTAATTATCTCTCAATTTCATAGTCTAACACACGGTTTATATTATTATTGGTCTAATCTACGCAATTCTTTCTCAAGTTCATGCATAAATCACTAAATCAATTGAAAGGTGATCAGACTTCCAATGCATTAAGTTCAATAATATAAACTCCTCATGTAAATAACTTTAATTGAAAGTATAAAATCACTAAATTTATATTGAATTGATTATGCTACATCGTAGCCCTAGTAGAATAAATCAGCTTATAATAAAAATAATAAAATATAAAATCAAAGTTATGAACATTTAAATATCAAGCAATAGATAAAAACCCAAGAAAAAACAAAACCCAATTTGAGAAAATCGAATTTCTTGATCTTCTATTGTTAATAGAATCTCAATCTTGATCTGCAATAATGCCCAAAAGAGGGCTACCACTAACTTCTTAAAACTCTCTCAATTCTGAATTTGGATGAGTATTTATAGGATTTTAGAAACCCTAATTGAAATAGAAGTAGGATTTTGAATAGAAATAGGAAACTGAATTTTGGATGCTGATCGCATGGTGCTGATACTTTGGATTACGTGTTGACACAAAATAGGAAACAAAATTTGATTTTGGACGTTTAACGCATGGTGTCGACACCCCGGTTACGTGTCGATACTACACCCGCATTGGGTTTTTGGCCTTTTGCAATTTCTTTAATGATAAAATAGCGGATCTAGTCCTCCAGATTTTGTACTATGAGCACTTAGATCTCAAAACTCAAGATTCATTCATTTAGGTTCCAAATGGCTGCCCTTCTTCTTGCAATTCAGTCCCTCAACTTTTAAAAAATATTCAATAAATCCTAAAAACTCTTATTTAATGCATTCAAATCATTTTCCGCACAAAAAATGAAAATCATGTAAAGTCTCATAAAACTCTTCCAAACATCAATAATATCAAGACAACAATTTCACATTAATATGTATACAATTTCAACTCATCGCAACGCCTCCACCTCAACATCCATCTCAGCAAAAAAAAAAGTCATGTCAGACA